TGTGAGGTCAGGGATTACTCACCACTGTATACCCAATTAGGTGTTCAGTAGGTAGGCGTCAAGGAATGGATAATGAATGGATGAATGATTATTTTTGTTGACAAGTAGCAGCATCAGGTGTGAGGTTCACACTCCTGGAAGGAAGTTGTTTGAGCTGATGTATGAGCTCCTGGAGAAGCTGCACTGTGCTTTTAAAGTGCCCAGAACTTCCAAGTTCTTACTCAGCCTTGTCTGGGGTCCCGGTCTACTATTCCCTAGGCTCTGGGTATTTCATGACTTTTAAAAAATGGCTGTAAACATGCCTGACTTTAATGCAACAGCTGTTTGCCTCTCCTCCCAGGATGGAGATCTCCAAGGGGCCCAGTGAGAAACCCTTAACTCATGAAAACTAGTGCCCCGTTTACCTGCACGCCCGGAGCCCCATCTTCGCCTTGGGCCAGGTAGTGCCCAGAGAGATGGTCTTCGTTTGCATTAATCATTTTCATGCGCTTTGCACTCAGCTACCCTGGTATTCAGAGAAAAATGCTGCCATGACAACTGCCACAACAGATGGTATTTGATCAGTCTCTAAGCTACAGAGGAGATATACAGTGTTCTTCCGAGGTTTGCATATTTTACTTTATCATGAGACCCAGTCCAGCCTTAATCATGGTTGAAATGTGAAGTTTTCCATTTGCCTCCCATCCCTCCCCCTTCTCTTTCCAGTTGTTTGGCATTTGTTTTGATTTTCCTTGCTCCCTGGTTATCCTGAGTGGAGATGTGCTCTTGGACTCGGGAAGCAAAGACTACAACACACACAGTCCGCGGAAGTTGCCCTGCAAGTCCCAAGTTCAGAGATTGCTGAGGCAACTATCCAACTTTGTGATGGAGATCCCAGCTGAGACTGGGAGGGAGCCTCCACTGTAGCCTTTCTCTCCTGGATCGTCACGGATGGCACATGGCGGAGGCCATGTGTGGCCCCAAAGGGAAGGCTGCGCAAGTGCGTCTTGGTCTTGGTTTGTCCCCTGCCTCCATGCACGCCTGCAGCCAGCCCCGTCCTGCTCCCAGGGTCTGCAAGCCACGTTCTGGTCCCACTTCTGGGCTTTCTACCTCCAGCCCAGCTAAAACTCCAGGAACTCCTTCCCAGAGCTCTCGGACCCATTTCTATGGCAGCAACAACTCCAACAGCCTTCTCCCCCGGCTCAAAGTGCGGCTCCCGCCCCCCTCGGCAACATTGGAATGTCAGGCTTTGCACAGATTTTTGCCAGCTAATTTTGGAAAGTAGTTTATATTGGCTGCTATGTGTTAATGAACGACTTTGGTCGTATTTACATACTTTGCCTTTCCCATCACTCTGCATTCCCAGCTTTAATCAGATCCGCCTCTCACACTGTGTGTCTGGAGAGCACATGAGCCACAGGGCTCATTAACAATGGGCACGAGGACATCCTTGTGCTGTAATGAGTGCCCGGGCCAGTCCCCTCACCCAGTGTGGTGGCAGTTTGCAGTTTCAGCGGTGCAGGGGGAGGGACTGGTTGTTTACCTGTATGGTACTTGGAAGAAAACATTAAGGTGAATTTCAGTCACAAGAGAGGCTGGATCAAAGAAACATTCTCCCCTTCTGATCTCATTCCAAGTGAAGCCAGGAGGTTGGAATCCACATCTGACCCTATTCTGCTTCCCAGCCCTGCTCTCTTCCCGGGGTGCAGATGAAAAGAGCGTGGGTCTCAGCAGCCTTGTCAGGAGTGATTTTTAACCTTAACGGAACATCATTAAAGAGTGGATTTGAGGCTTGAGGAAAGTTTTTTGAACTCCTTTAAGCAGAGAAATCATAGTAGAGGGAAAAAAAATTCAAGGCGCTTGATGGGCTTATGAATTGTCTTTTAAATGATGACCCAAGTTCTTATTTTTAGTTTTAACATACTCCAGGAGTGCACCCCAACCATCCAGATACTGCTCCCTGCTTTATCTCCTCTTTAGGAGAAAGCATTCTTGGTGCCCCTAGGCCTTCTCTCTCCACCTAAGGAAGGAAGATCCCGATGCTTCCTTTGTCCTACATGCTCTGATTTTCCCTGACATGGCTGGGAGTTGGGGTGTGTGGACCCAAGAGAGAAAGGTTATGGAAGTGTGGGCTCCTGCACAGGGAGGAGGACTCTGCTCCCACATGGTCAGAAGAATCCAGCACAGCGTCTGCAACACAGCAGACATCTACCCAATTATATTGATTGATAAAAAGAATCACAGGTTTCTCAGGCTTGGTACTACTGACCCTTTGGGTGGGATTTTTCATCGTTATATGCACTGTAGGATGTTCAGCAACATCCTTGGCCTCTACCCACTAGATGTTAGTGGCATTCCCCACATTGTGAGAACACAGAGTGTTGCCAGATGTCCCTTGGGTGTGGCAACATTATTACCCCTTCTCCTGCACTGTCCCTGCCCTGTGGAGAATTGATCTTGAAATTCTTTGAAAGAATGATAGGGATTTTAAAAAGACACAGGAGGGGCACCTGGGTGGCTCGGGAGATTGTGATCTCAGGACCCTGGGATCGAGCCCAGCATCGGGCTCCCTGCTCGGCAGGAAGCCTGCTTCTCCCTCTCCCACTCCCGCTGCTTGTGTTCCCTCTCTCGCTGTCTCGCTCTCTGTCAAAAAAAAAAAAAAGATAAAAAAAAAATAAAAAAGCAACAGGAGGAAGAAGTCATCCAGGTAACCTATTTATAATTATTCATTCCTGTAATAGAATTTAACATTAAAAGAAAGCCCAGTAGATGGCCGAATTGAAATGGACCAAGGGCTAGCCTTGCGGGAAGAAATTACCATGTACTTTAAATGATACTTTATGCATTGAATGCTCCATGAATGTGCCAAGTAAATGTGTTTTATGTTCCTTGGAAGGAAATATCTATAGAGTTACAATGTTGTAGTAGAGTGAGCAGTGCTTTTCTTGATTACCTTGGTGGGTGTCTTTTTTTTTTTTTTTTTTAAATCAATGCTACGCTACTGCTCTGTTGTTGAAAAAACTTAACCTACCCACGTCAGCACACCTCCATGACGCTTGCCAGGGTAGATACCAAGTGTACTATTTCTGATTTTACATTAACAGATTCCTGGCCCCAAAGGGCTTTTTCTTTATCTCAATTCTCACGGGGACATAATTGCCAAAACTTCACTTATCAGCCATGTGCAAGATACACTGGAAAAGCAGGATAGGATTTTTCAAAGGAAAAAGGGGTCGCAGGATTTTGTAATTTTGTCATGATTAAAATATTAGTGCCTCTCGGTGGGGGCAGCAGATCCTTTTGTGTGCTTTTGGTACATTACCATTGTTTACAGTTGCGGAAATGAGGACTGATACTTTTCTCAAAAGCGGGATTTTGTAACGGGGAAATAGCATTTAGAGATCTAATTTTGATTACATAAAATGTAAGCAGATTGCTTCAAAACACCTTCCACAGGGCCCCTCCCCGCCATTCTCTTCCTTCTATCTCACCGCCCCCGCCCCCACCCTCCATGATGGTGGCACCTGCTTGTCATCGTCAGTCCTGGCTTGGAAGGAAGGGTTAAAAGCAATCTCGCTTTCCCTCCCCCTTTATAAGAAACGATTTTCTGCAATGGTGGCAGGCATAACCCATAACATCAGCATTTACTTAGTTTGCAGGAAATTGCATTTTGCCCCTTTTCCTAGAGATGAAAAAAAAAAAAGTCTCCCAGACGAGGATCTTTGAGGGTGAACTGGAGGCTGGGAGAGAGATGGGAAACCGTGCTAAAAAGTGCAAGGAAGGAACAGCCTCGGGCTCAGGGTGGAGTGGAGTCTGAGAAGAGTGCAGTTTTATTCAGCTGCCCCCGTAGCTTAATTTCGTGTTTGGAAGGTCTGAAGACTGGGAACAGAGAAGGAAAATGCCAGACATGGGGCAAGAAGGACATGCATTTCAGGAAGACTGCCTTGGAGCCAGACTCTACTCAAATTAGAGCTCTTACACTGTAGATGTATCACTCCGTGGCTATGAAGTCGCCTTCAGAAAGATCACTTGGGGAGGAGGGAAGGAGAACAGTCACATGGACACTGTGAAAAACAGTCATTTATTCAAGATAAACCCTATGGGTTAAACACCCGTTTGAATGTATAAGAATGCTGACGGAGCGTAGGAGCGTAGGAAGTCGGGTGGGGGGTAGGGGGCGTCTTCCACTGTGAAATGCAAACTGTGTGAAATTCAAAGATCCTTGTGCCAAGTCAAAAGCAGTTTCTTTTATTTATGGTCACCATTGACATTAATTGAGCCTGAACACTTTCCTGTAGACCAAAAAATCATTAGCCCTGACAAGTGAAGTCAAATCAGACCTTTGGGAATGACCTAATTGTTCTTTCCCGAGGGCTGGACGTTTGCTTGCCCTTGGCCGTGGCATCAGCCCTGGCAAGCCTGGGAGGCCTCCCAGACTCTGGCAGGTGGGTTCCTTCTTATCACAGAGAACACAAAGGACAGAGGGGCTCACTGCGGTCGCAGCCCTCCCTCATCATCGGCAATGCCTGCCGTCCTGAGACTCTCGTGAGTAAGCGTGGCCCAGAGCCCTGCTGAAACTCCATTCACTGTTTACACATTGGCCGGCATGCCTCCCTGGTGCTGGAACTCTCTCCCAGCTGCTGGCGGACGGGTGGGTCTACTGTCCCTTCGTCCCCAGCTGCTCAAATTTTCAGGGTAGCTCTAGGGACAGTGCTGCACATAGGCGCTCTCATTCCACTCTGGTTATTTTTGGCAGCCATGAGCAAGCCAGGGCCTCGACTTCTGGAATTGTGTGGTTGGGATATTAGGTAACTTGTGCTTATGCAAGTACAGACAAAGAGTCCTGACCTGCACCCATCCACCCATCCATCTGCTGCTTGCACGTCGTTCTCCTCGTTGCGAACCTTAGCAAATGCACAGTGAACCCTCTCTCTGACATCACCCTTTGTTCCTGATAAAAGATGGCTCTGGAGAAGGCTGAAAACTGAGTGTATGTCGTTGTTGTTGTTTTTTTTCCCTAGATTGAAAACATAGATGCCTGCTTGAATTTCCTGGCAGCGAAGGGAATAAACATCCAGGGACTGTCTGCAGAAGGTGAGTCAGAGCCCTTGTCATGAAGCTGCCTTTTCATGGTTAGAAATGCCCACCTGTTACCTACTGTTGACTTTAATACAGTTAAGCCCAGGGTGCTGGGTGCGTGCTTCTGGCTTTGTTTTCCTCCTGGTTTTGAGGCAGCTCAAGGCCTGTGTAGACTTGAGGATGCCAACTTTTTGACACCTAAAAAGTCACTCCAGGAATGTAGATTCAACCATGCCGGCCAATGTCTGCTAGACACCGCCGAGGAGGGAGTACTGGAGTTGGGGCTGCTTCTCTGGAGGAGGGCTTAATCAAACAATGCTGATTTGATTCACCCGGCTAGCAATTCAGTTAATCATCAAGCCGGGCCTTATCTGTGGGAGAGAGAACACTTAGCCACAGCACATATTTAAACTGCACCGTTCCCAGGGAAAAATGCCGAATCCTTATTTCTTACTTTTCTTAAAAGAAGCAGCACTTTTCCTAGCTCAAAAAAAGAAACAAGAAAACACGTGATCTATTAATGAGAGGCTACATTTTGACATCCTGATTAGTTTTTAATTAACTCCAATTGGGTGGCTAATTAGCACATTAGCATGTGCTGGTGGTTTGCTATTCAATTAAGTCTTGGTCTGGAGACGGCTGGTCCGAATTCTCAGCCGCCTCAGGCAACGTCTCACCCTGGAATCTTTTGCGCTCTCTCCTGTTTGTAAATACCAGCTCAGAAGCTGCCACAGACCCCGGCAGCCTCCCAGACTCATTAGGCTGCACCTGCCTCCAGTTTTCCCAGAACAGGTAAAGCGGTTTGGGCCTCAGACGACACCACCTTTCCCGAGCAAGGTTGCTTGTTGAAAAGATGCCTATTAGCATCGACTCCGGTGGTCAGGGTGGAGAGGAGGGGGGACAGTGAGGAAGGTAACAGCCCAGTGGAACAGGTAAGTTTGCACATGTGGTCTGCTGGGGGCCTGTTCCTTGCCTTTGTCCTGCTACGCGGTGAAAGCTTGGTTTTCCTGGCTGTGTGAACAGTATTAGGGGCGGGTGGCTACTGTTGATGCCTCGTGGGTGTCTCGTGTCATGTCGTGTCTGAACGCGACCTCTCAGATGCTGGGCCTGTCCCAGGGGTGGACACAGTGCTTCGGGAGGTCTCCATGGCTGCTGTCGGCTGGTCAGCCCTAACCCCTGCTCTGAGAGGGGGGTCCTTGGAGGATCTCTTTGCCCTGAGGGATGGGCCCTCCGCCATGGGGATGAGATCTGGGCTGAATGACCTACGGAACGCACCTTGCTGGGGCATGGTGGGGGTTGGTGTGGGGCTTCCAAGGATGGGTGGGGAGATGCAAATTCCCATTCCAAGGAACATCATTTCCTTCTGGTAGAGCGTCGTTGTGCTGGCTGGTGGGTGGCAGGCACAGGCTCCTCCTGGTTTCTGGAAGTAGTTGGGTGCCAGGCCTGTGCCCACCAGCAGAGCATCAGCAGGGACTTGCACAGAGTCGTGCTCAGCAGAAAGGGCTCTAGGGGATGTGGACTCTATGTAGCTCAGCTTCATCCCACATGGCCTGGAGGTGACACCTGGCCACTCTGCCGTCTACACATTATCCTGCCTTCTGCCTCGTTTGTCCCCCAGCACCTACCCCATCCTCTTTATACCTTAAGGCATAGATTATTCAGTAACTACTTGTTGAATAAATAAGTAAAAGGGCTTTTATGTGAAGCAGCTCCAGCATCCACAGCTGAAGTGGGAATTTATAATTGCCTGAATTTACAGATGACAAAAGCTTGGCTTAAAGAGGTTACAAGTGACATCCTCAAAGCCTGTAGCTAGTGAGTGGCAGAACCAGAGCTGAACCCAGGTCTGTGTGATTTCAGAGCACGTGTTCGTGGTGTCTTTTGGGACAGCAGATGGATAAAATCAAGGCATGTCACCTACAGGTGAAAGAAACCAGGAAGGATTTAGAACTTCATTGGCCAGAACACCGTCTCAGAAGATGTCGTGCAGCCCAGAGGCCTATCAATCATGCAGACACTCAGCTCCAGCCGTGTCTGTGTTAGGATGTGGCCCTTGGGGGTCTCTGAGCATTGAAGAGCCTGCTGAACCAGTGTGTTGAGGTGTCTGTCATTGGGGCATACCTGTGAAGTGGCTTCATGGTGGTTTCAGTAACTGCCTCCAACCCCCCATCCCCATTTTTCCTGCTGAGTTGAGACCCACTTCCTGATATCTTGGCCAGAATACATAACTCGTCAGTCATGGTTCGTTCTTAGAACAGTTTTATGTTAATGCTTATGATGGTCTTGTGTTGGGTTTTTTTTTTTTATTTAAATTCAATTAACATATAGTGTATTATTAATTTCGGGGTAGAATTTACTGATTCATCACTTGCATGTAACACCCAGTGCTCATTCCATCACGTGCCCTCCTTAATACCCATCACCCAATTACCCCATCCTCCCCACCGACCTCCCCTCCAGCAACCCTGTTTGTTTCCTAGAGTTAAGAGTCTCTTATGGTTTGCCTCTCTCTCTGTTTTTATCTTATTTTATCTTTCCTTCCCTTCCCCTATGTTCATTTGTTTTGTTTCTTAAATTCCACATGAGTGAAATCATATGGTATTTGTCTTTCTCTGACTGATTTTTCACCTAGCATAATACCCTCTAGTTCCATCTACATCACTAAAATGGCAAGATTTCATTATGTTGGTGGCTGAGTAATATTCCATTATATATATATGGTGTATATATATATATATATATCATATATACATACCACATCTTCTTTATCCATTCATCTATTGACAGACATCTGGGCTCTTTCCATAGTTTGGCTACTGTGGACATTGCTGCCCTAAATATTGGGGTGCAGGTGCCCCTTTGAATCACTATGTTTGTATCCTTTGAATAAATATCTAGTAGTGCAATTGCTGGGTCATAGGGTCTTTCTATTTTAACTCTTTGAGGAATCTCCATACTGTTTTCCGGAGTGGCTGTACCAGTTTGCATTCTCACCAACAATGTAAGAGGGTTCCCCTTTCTCCGCATCCTCACCAACATCTGCCGTTTCCTGAGTGGTTAAATTTTGCCATTCTGACTGTTGTGAGGTGGTATCTCATTGTGGTTTTGGTTTGTATTTCCCTGAGGCCAAGTGATGTTAGGGATTTTTTTCAAGAGTCTGTTGGCCATTTGGATGTCTTCTTTGGAGAAATGTCTGTTCATGTCTTCTGTCCATTTCTTGACTGGATTTTGTGGGTTTTGGGTGTTGAGTTTGATCAGTTCTTTATAGATTTTGGATACCAATCCTTTATCTGATAAGACATTTGCAAAGATCTTTTAGTCTTTTAGTTTTGGTCTTGTTTCTTTTTAAACTTCACTTTCAGATTCTGCTCAAAGCTCTTTTTTACCCACATGCCCCAGAGCAAGTGGCTTTAGAAGATTGAAGGAAGGGGGCGGCTGGGTGGCTCAGTCGGTTAAACATCCGACTCTTATTTCGGCTCAAGGTCATGATCACAAAGTTGTGAGATTGAGCCCCGCATTTCTCTGCCCATCCCTTCCACCCTCCACCACCACCCCCATCCCACCTACACACTCGCTCTCTCTTTCAAAAAAAAAACCCCCAAAAAACGAAGAAGATTGAAGAGAGATGGGGGCCTAATGACTTCTTCTCCTCCCCTCCTTCCTTTGCCTGAGCCTCTAGGACTGGGGCTGATAGAGCAGGCAAATTCTGCTGCTGGTGAAGTTGCTGCCCTCTTCTTAGGGACCCATAATTATTGCTGTCCCCAAGCGACAATCTCTGCATGCCCTCTGGATCACGGACTTGCTCCCATGCTGCTCCCAGGATGTTAGTAGTCTTTCGTGAGATTGTCCAGCAATTCTGGCTCGCCCTCAGTGGGTAGCATTTATATCCAGTCCCCCAATTCAGGCCCCTCGTAGTCCCCACATAAGGTGGTCCTAGTGAGACCGTAGACCTCAGTCTCCTCATCCCTGCATTATACACTGGCAGGAATGTGTGGGCTCCATCTTCCACTTGGAGTAGGTAGAACAGTCCTTCTGTCACCTGGAAGCCCCCACCATACAGTTTCTCTCTAGCTCTTTCCTCTCAGACTTAGGTGGCCAAGAGGCAGATCTGCCAAGTCCATGCTGCGTGGATGTCCAACCAGGGACTGGAATGCCAGCACCCGACTTGGAGTGATTCTCTTGGCGCCTCTACTCCTTTGTCTTCAAGGAGCGCAAGGACCTCACCTTCTTTTCCTTGATGAGGGGAGGAAATATCCAGTCTCAGTGATCATCAGACATTACCACCCTCCCCCACTCTGTGACAGTTTCTCATCTAGATTTTCTGTTGTTTTTTTGCTCTTTTGTCCATTGAGGCATTTTATTTGCACACGTGTATTACATCCCTAGAAAAGAAATCCCAGGATTTTCCCTCCTGTGTATCTTCACCTTGCTTCTTCATGGTCCATGATGCCAGCTGAGTTTGTCCATACAATGAAACCAGACTGGTGGACAGGAGCAGATTATTCTGCCATTTTTTCTAAATCTTTAAGTTATACATCAAATCTGGGGCTCTTCACTCCACACTTGTTTAACCTGCACCTGAGGTTCGCAACAATTTTCCTAGCTCTGTGACCATCGGTGATTTCAAAATCGCCAATGTAACCGTGCTTCATCATCACAGTCAGAAAATGGAGGATCATTTTTTGAAGCATGACCTTTGAGAGAGCGCACCTCTGGAGCAGGGTCTACTAAGAACCTGGCGTTTGCCTCTCTTTTCAACATTCTTAATGCTCTTGAGAGCATCTTCCAGGACATTCATGTGGAATTCATGGGAAATCCCATTACAGTGGCCCAGAAAGATGGCAGAAAGAGTCCTCTAGATCTTCTCACCTTGACTTTTGAGGTTGGGGGATGATGATGGTGTTCAGTGGGAGGACGGATTCTGGACTAGTGCAGTCTTGTGGGAAGGTGACTGGCCCCAACTTTTGTCAACTCCTTGAGCTTACAGAGGAAAGATACTTAGAGACTTTTATCCT